CGAATGAGAAACCAAAGCTGCAAGAAGTGCAGCAGCATAAGAGGTGCTTGCCTCCACAGTACCTCTTCTTGGGCGGCAACATGGGGACTCTGGCACAGTTACAGCATCACAGGTTGGAGTAAAGCAATTTGATCCTTTCATTCTGGCTCTGATTCTCACACTATGAAACCCAGTGTCTTATCCACCTAAAGAGGAATTTCTTCTTCCCTAGAGCTTGATTGCCTGTGTCTCTATCATCTGAAAGATGGAGACAGAGATTCATGATATGGGTGACCACAGAACTTTCTCACTCTTATCCAATTCAGTCCTGACCATGACCAAGAACTCAGATCACCAAAATAGGACACCTCGTTCAAGGGGCAGCACACCTTCAAATAGTGACCTGCTGTGACTGATGCTGCTGAAGGAACACATCGTCTTTACCTCAGGATTTGCCCTCCCGTGGCTTCAGGGTTGCCCAACAGCTCAAAAAGCTGGCTATAGCTACCACAGTTTTAGTTGAATCCAAAGGTGGTACTAGAAAATGGCAATATGCAGCTGCATAACATTGCAGAATTAAACACTAGGAAGCAATAGGAAAGGATCAACGTTAGAGACAACGAAGCAGGACCCTGTATGTTCCTCACTCTATATCTACAGGTCATCCCTAGACAGAGACCATATTCATCCTGTAGAAACATACCTGACTCCATCTCATAACGTGGAGGTAGAAATAAAAAGTTTTTATGTTCATGTCAAAGGCCCACATTCACAAACCCAATAGCAAGGAAGGGCTTTTCACTATTCTCCAAATGGATTAGTATAGGTTCCGTGGAGAGAAATATTTCAAGCTCTTTATGTTTCTATTTATTTTGGGATTCTTTCATCTGATTATATTCTCAAGCCCAGAACCTCCAAAATACTCCTACTCATAGTCCATTTCCAGCTCTTTGCATTGCCTATACCTCCCATACTGCTCAGTTTTTCCCAAGGATTTTCACAGGGAGGAATTCCCATCTCCATTACCCTGGTGACTGACAAGAGACAGAAGACAAGGAGAACCACCATGTCTTGCAGATGGGATATATTAAAGGCACAGGTTTGGCTCCATCCTGACTTAGGGTGGCTTTGGTAGTTGTACTGAACTTGTGGAATGTTGTCTCCAACACTCAAAAATAAGGAATTGCTGGAGATGGAGAATCAGAGACCCAGAGTCTGTTAGAATCTCAATTTCTCTATTTCCCAGAAAATTCAGTATCCAGTCATTTGTTGCTTTAAGGATAGACCTTTGTTGCATGAGATCTGGAAGGCAATGTTTTAAATCGGAAGCCCTGAGGCAACAATAGCTTTTCTGGGTTACCCAGAGACTCCAGGAGACATGACCAAGGTCTTGTTTAATAATCCAATTGGCCAATCTGTGTCTTTACATTAGAGATTAAAATCATTCACATTCAGGTTAGTATGATAAATCCTGTCATTTTGTTTTTTTCTCCTTGCAGTCATTTCAAATGATGTTTTCATTATTTTTTCCCTTATTCATCTTAGAGTTTTTTTTAATTGATTGTTCAAAACATTACAGAGCTCTTGGTAAATCATCTTTCATACATTTGACTCCATTGGGTTTTGAACTCCCATTTCTACCCCCTCATCTTAGAGTTTTGAAAGCTTACTGAATTGATACTATTTGATCATTTCTGATCCTCATTTGGTACTTTATTATTCAATTGAGATTAGTTCTTTCTTGTACTCTTGTGATTGAATTTATCTTGCCTTATCTTCTATATGTAGGATTACTTTGAGTAGTTTCTGTAATACTGATTCAGTGGTCAATAAATCCTTTATTTTATGCCTATTTTGGAAGGTCTTTATTTCTGCTTTGATTCTGAAGGATGAGTTTGCTGAGTATAGTAATCTAGGCTAGTAGTTGTTTTCTTTCTGGTGTTGAAATATATCATTCCATGCCCTCCTGTCCTTTAGAGATTCTACTAAGAAATCTGCTATTATTCTTATGGGTCTGCCTTCATTATTGACATGGTATTTCTCACTTGCAGATTCACTATTCATTCTTCATTCTGTACTTTTGGAAATTTAAATATAATGCACCATAGAGAGGTTCTTCTTTTGTTATGTCTATTTTGAGTTCTAAATCACTCCTGTACATGAATGTCCATATCATTCTCAAAATTTTGGAAAATTTTTGCTATTATTTCATGGAACAGTTTTCATAATTTTAGCTTGTACCTCATCTCCCTTCATCTTTACCTATGATTCTCATGTTTTGTTTAATCATGTGTCATTATTTTGAATGTTCTATTTATGCTTATTTTTTCTTATTTCTGAATGTAACATTTCATCAACCTTTTCTACAAACCCTGCTATTATTTTTTCAGCTTGATCTCATCTATCATGAGTCTTTCAAGTGTTTTTTATTTGATATATTAAACTTTGCATTTCCAATACTTCAATTTTTATTATTATAGAATCTTGCTCTATTAAATTGCTCTTTCATATGCTACCTTGTTTTCCTTAATTCAACTGTTCATTTTGAAGTTATTGGAATTTGTTAACTATTTAAAATTTTATACTTTTGAAGCCCTTTTCCAGCATTTCATGCAATTTTGTAACTTTGGAGTTAGTTACTAGTCAGTTATAAAAATTTGGAGGATTACTGATGCCTTTATCCCCCCATATTTCTTGAGTTTCTATGTTGAGATGTTCATACCTGTTGGGTGTGTGTATGTTTTCCACTTTTTATGAGGGTCTTCTTAGGGCATCATATTCTCTTCATAATGTTCTTTAAACCATTGGTTTGTTGTGCAGAGTTGAATTTAGTTCCAAATAGAATTAATAGTGTAGTTTCCCTGAGGCTTCTTTGGCTAAGATAGGTGAGTTTTGACACAGAACTGTGTCAGAGTCTGAGGGTTTCACTTCCTCTGTGGGTCTCCCAAGAGTGGGATCTCTCTGGTAGATTAGGTAGATGTGTTGAAGACAGCAGAGTATACGGGATGCAATGTTTGAGGTTACTCCTCTATATTTGTCAACAGTGTGCTGTCTGCAGGATGGTCTGCTGTAGCTGTGGGGGAGATTATGCAGGAGCTAGTCTCCATAACTACCCCCTCCAGCCATACCTACTTGGGGTTGAGTAAGTACATAGGGGCTTCTTTCCTCTCCTATTCATTAAGTCGAAGTATCTATCACGGTTTGAATAGGACTGGGTCCTGGGTGGAGTAAGGTGCAATTTCCCTTAGCTGATCAGTGAGGTGCAGTTTTTCTTAGCTGATTTGTGAGTATAATTCAGTGGCAGATCATATTCCCAGTGTATTTGAAGTGTCAGGTTCTATTCCCACATGACATAGGATGAAGAAAACAGAAAGGAAAAAACAATGACAAACAAGGGTCAATTAGATATAGAAATAGAGTAAAAACCACAAATGTCACACCACCACCACTAGGAATGGCAGGGGCAAAAAAATATAGAATGAACTGAATGGTTAAAAAATGATTACAAAAAAATTAGCACCAGAGAAAAAAGAAAAGACACACAACATAAACACTAGAAAATACAGAAAGAAAAAAAGAAAGAAAGCAGGTAGAGATAGAAAAACAAAGCCACAACTTAAGAAAAGAAGAAGGAAAGAAAAACATTTGAGTCTTACAAGGAAAATTGAGTAAAAGAAGAGAAAAATGAGTGTGTGTATATATATGTTTATATATAGAAGTTTTATACAAAACATATATATGTATATATACATATATATGTGTGTGTATACACACACACACACACACACACACACACACTTATGTGTATATATTTGTGTGTGTATGTATATACCAAACAACAAAGTGTCTAGTTTGGCTCTGCTGAGGGGTTGAACCGTGCACACAAAGTGGATGTTAGCTCCCTGTAAGGATTGGCATTTCCTTCCTTGTCTTATGCAATCCTTGGTGATAGCAGAGGATGGGGGTTATTCACTTCTTTTTCCTAACTTTTGTTTTACTTTCCAGATAACAAACAAGATTGGATTGAAACTGCAGCCAGTTGGAATAGCTCTCATCTGCCCTATTCACCAGTAAGAGCTAGCATGCATTGTGATGTGCAAGGGCAGAAACCTTCTCTGAAATAATTAGTCCAATGTACTTCAAAGACTGGGCTGATGCCCAGCACTGTGGCCAGTCTGGGTCTCTGGTGTCCTTAGGTATGCCTAGTGGGTGGGTGTGGTAACAATCTGCAAAGGGGTCCCACACAATCCACACCTAGGACTCTGGCCTTCCAAGCCCAGGTTCCTTGTGTGATCATGTGTGTGTCTGTTCAGACTCCTGAGCCTCTTCAGCTGGCTGCCTGACCTGAGTCTTAAAGGGGAAGCAGCTTCTTCTGTGTTCACATCACCAACTGATTTCCCACTGGAAAGAGATTTTGGTGAGTTTGTTTCAGTGGTGCTCCCTTCCCTGGGGCCAAGCCAAGCCTCAAGAGATGTATTCACTGAGCAAGCACTTTTGTTTTGCAGAATCAGCAAGCTTAGATGAAGCCATCTGAAGATGTTTTCTCATTAGAGCACCAATAGTATACCAAAAGTGCAGAGAAAGGGTCCAGTGCCAGCCTGCTCTGCAGGTTCCACATCATCTGGGTTTGGAATGTCCTTCTGCAGTGTTTCAATTTCTGTTCTGGTTCCATCCACTGTGTCTCTCTCTTCCTCTCTGTTACTCCTGTCCTAGAGTTGCTGCTGCATCCCCCATGCTGATGTGTACTTCCTGCAGGGTACATTTTCTGTTCCACTTTCTAGAGTGCCTGGGCTTCTCCAAGTCTCTGTCCACTGAGCATCTTCTCAGTCACCCACCTTGATGAGGATCTGCTCTCTTTCTGTTTTCATTCCAACTTATAGAGAAGCAGGTGAGTGTTGGCTACCTTGAATCAATTGTTCCTATGTTCACAATAAAAATCAACTAAGAAAAATATTTTCTGTTTTACCTTGTTGAATGTTGGTTAGGATAAAATTGGTTTTGATTTGAATGTTTGATCAATTTAAGAGCATGAAATTTTTAAAATATAGATTTGAAAGAATTTTAATCTCTAACAAAAGAAATTAAAAGAAAGAACATGCAGAAATAGAGGGAAAAAAGCAATGCAGAGCAGAGCAAAATAGGAGAGGAAAAGGGGAAGCACTGGGGAATAATATTGGCCATTTATATTGCTATGTTGTGCATATATACAAATGTGAAACTATGAATCTCACTATTATGTACCTCTATAATGATCCAATAAAAATATAGAAAAAAATAGAATCGGAATCATCTGGAACATTATAAACCTCTATTATATACAACCTTTGGGTAGTATTTCTTGAAGCCTATGCAGTTGCTGGCTTTATAATAATTACCATTAAGTGTCTTTCATTTTTTTGACACTCAAATATCAAATTATTTCCCCATTTAAACATCTGCCTGATCCTGTGCTTCCTAATTGTAAACACCTGTGGCATTCTCTAACTGAATTTTCTGCCATAGTCTCAATTTTGACATGAAAAAAAAAGTAGCCATCACTTTTTTAAGTAAAGCCTGCTCATCTCCTGTAATCTCTATCTTTATTACCAGCAAAGTCATTGTTCTTTTCATGTGACCATAAGTGAGAGTGCACTATCTGCTGCTTCTTTTTCAACATCATTATTCTTTCTTCTGGTATATTTCCATGGCTTCTCTGAAATCCTCTTTCTCATTTTAAGTTCCTATGGTCATTTTCAATAAGAAGTTGAATGGTTCATGGGGCTAATGTTTAAAATCTCTTTCTATTCTAAATCATCATTCATGATATAAGCTTCAAAAACTAATCAAAAAAATCTTCTGAGTGCTGAGAGCCACAGCCGGAGTCTGTATGGCTCCTGGGCATTTTGCCAACAGTATTGATTGACAGGCGAGGCATTATCCACCTCTGCCACTACTTTTCTGTTCTCCTGCTATTTTTGGACTTCTTGCGCTATTTTGAGTTCTCATGGGGATTCTCATGGGGATTCCCCTGGCGTTCCCATTGGTTGGCGAAGTGCAGGAGAAGGGATTTCCCGGGGAGCTATTTACGGCTGGGGGTTCCTGCAGGAGCCTCGTGGCTTTTCCGGACGATTCCCCAGGAGCGTGTGTGAGGTTTTTTCCTGCAGTTAAAAAATAAAGTTTGTTCCTGCTTCAGTGGCTCGTGATTTGTGCCCAGCCAGACTGCGGCACTGAGTTCCTACTATTTGACATCATTGAACTGAAAGTTGTACTTGACAAGAGATGTTTCTACTTTCATAAAGTTTAACAATCACTGGGAGAGGCATGCAAGCAATGAATCTTTGAATCATCTAATTGATCAATAAGCAAGTGAATAAATACTTATAATGACAACAGATGTTGGTAAGTGACATGAAAATGGTCATGGATATCCTTTGTGAGAGGGTAGATGGTAAACTGAGTAGCAAGAAAAATTAAACAAAAATAAGGAGACAGCCAAATCAAGAGCTTCAGGAAGCTCTTCAACTTGAGAACATAGAAGAGGGTCAGTGTGGTTGTAGTTCAAAGAAAGGACAGAGCTGCAAATAAGGCAGGAGAAGTTACAAAGGGCTACATCATGTTGGGTCTTATTTCTAGAGAAAGGAGTTGGTATCTTGTTACAAATATTATAGCAGGCCATTGAAGTGCTCCAGGGAAGGAAACAGAATCTCCTTTATGTTTAAGATTATTCAGCCTGATGTGAGAGTGTGTAGACTAGTGTAGAGATCAAAATGTGTGGCAGATGAATCAAACCATTCAATATTTCAAATCATCTGTGCTCTCTAGTGTGCCTGCCTGAAACACTCAATATTCCTTCTGTGTCTAACATTCATAAGACCATCCATAAAAATTACCTAACTATGACTGTAATTTAAAATTTACCTTTGTTTATGTTCTAAGCATAGCAACTATAGCCTTCCACTTAAATATTCATGTTTATATTTTAAACTGTTTTAGATTTTCTCTCCTTCTTTGCCTTTTTCCCTGCTTTCTCTCCTTCTTTCATTATCCTTTGTTCTTCTTTCTCTTTCTCATTTCTTTTCAACATCTCAGTGCTATGGGCACTGTACAAGTGCAAGATCCTTCTCTATGAGTTATGATTAGATAGGGGCAAGAAGCAATGTATGATTGCATAGTATTGTGAATGTAGACAGCAATAACATTCAAAGCATTAAAAAAAATAGAAGAATTATTAAAATTTTCACCATAAATGATAATAGTTCAAGGAAATAAATATGTTTAACCTGATTTAAAAATTGTGCAATGAACACATAATTCAAATATTACATGTTATTCCATTGACATGTATAATTTTTATGTTTTTAAAATGTATCACTTAAAGAATCAATTGAAAAAAGACCCCTCTCTGATTTTAATCCCCGAGTCAACTAACAGTAGTACATACAGTGTAGGTAATAGCAACTTCTACTTTAATGGGCTAATGAAAATCATTAAAGTCTATTGCTTGTGCTTATCATAAAAATTAAACAATATTTTCCAGCTTAAAAATATTAAAAACACCAAAATAATGTTGTCAATTCAATATTGTAAAATTTATATTTCAATATAATTCTCATTACAAATTTCATTTAATTTTGTTCCGGGGTAAGTGATCCCTGCCTATGGTTGAAAAATATAGACAATAGAGAAATATTTTTTAAAGGTAACTTCAATTCTATAATAGTAATCTCATTTTCCTTTCATAATTTATTCTGGTTTTACATATATATGTAAAATATGTATATTATATGTATTTTACATACATACACATACATAGGTATATACTGTTGGGAATTGTACACAATTGGGAATATACTAAGAAGTCATTTTTTTGCTGTTTCATTGATGTTGTACCTTGAGAAATTTTCTGGAACTTTAATTGTAATAGCCATACAATTTTCCTCAGGTAAATATCTCATAACTTATTTAATTTCCTTCATTTGTTTGGTTTTTTAAGTTCATGCCCAGATTTACCAATTTAAAATAATTCCACAAGGAAATATATTGCTATGAAAATCCTATCTCTATGTCTTTGATTTTTCTCAGAAATGCAAAAGAGTGATAGCATTTGGACATATGTTCATATCACCTTGGCAATGGGGTCGCAGATGGCCCTCCCACTCTCCAATGACATGGGTTGCAGTGCCTTGGACAGACTGAACACTCTGCATGATTGATTATTATGTTTTCTCTTTTCTTTTAAAAAAGGTGGAGAATAAAGTACACATTTTCTACAGTGTCCTGAAAAAATGGCATACAAAGTCCAAACCCTTCCTTCTATGATCCCAACTTATGCATTGTGCCTTTTGTTCTTCCTAATTTGGTCTTCAACCATATTATTGTGGATATCTAAAATGAAAAACATTCAGGTGCATGGTGGGTGCCCTAGTCCCAGGGACTTAGTACCACATAGTAGCCTTGAAATTAAACATCTCATTCTCAAATCGAAGCTTTCTTTCTACCCAAGTCACTTTTTTTTTCCTTTTTTCTTGTAATGTCTTGGTATGTCATATCAATTTTCAAAATAACTTATCAAATTCAACACACACACAAGATACCTGCTGTGATTTTGATCAGATTTTTATTACTACATATCAATTTTAGAAATTGTTATTTCCATGATAATATGTAAAAATGGTTTGTTTCTCCATTGATTTCTATCCTAACATTTTTTCAATGATATTTATAATTATTTACAAAATATTTTCCAAATTTCTTAATTGAAATATCCAATGATTAGAAATAAACTGTCAAAATTATATTATTCCAACAGAAAAATATTTGAAATTTATAGATAAATTAATGCATTAAAAAGCTAAGCAATAACTTTGACAAAAATAACAGTATACAAAGAAATTACATTGTTATTGAACAGGAAAAGTTAGAAATTTAATTTTGAATGGCATTAAAAATATAACTTCCCTAGTATCTTCACTTAGATTCTACTAAAAGTAGAGCCCAAAACATAAATTTATTCTTTCTTTGGTTTGTTTTGTGGCACGATATTTTTATGATGTGACATTCCTGACCTTGGCCACTCTTCAATTATTTTTGTTTTCCAAGTTTTTATTGGTGCATTGTGATTTTACATAATAGTGTGATTTCTTGCACATTCATACATGCACACAATTTAACAGTAGAATTTGGCCTATATCATTCCCCAGTATTTCTCTTCTCCCTCCTTGCTTTCCTTCCCCTGAACCCTTTCCTTTACTCTATTGATCTTTCTTTAATTTTCATGAGACTCACTTCACACTTTCTTTTCCTTTTTCCTTTCTAATTCCCACATCTGACCTTTATCCATCTGAGTTTGATTTATTTCATTTAACACAATGTTCTCAAGTTCCATTCATTTTCCTACAAATGACATAATTTCATATTTATTTTTGGCTGAATAAAATTCCATTGTGTACATATACCACATTTTCTTATAAACTCATCTAATGATGGACAGTGAGTCTGGTTCTGAAATGCCAGATTTGTGGGACCCCAATATTACTCTAGGAGCCAAATCTGATGCAATCACACAAGAGTCTTTATTGCAGGCTGGAGCCTGGACTCACTCACAACTGTTTCCAATGTAGAGAGAGGTCCTGAGGAGTGAGTCCCAACCCTTGGTATTTCAGGTTATCTTCCCTGTCTCACTCTGACTGGTTGTTGCTATGGTCTGAAATTAGGCCTCAGGCATCCTTTTGGTCTTTATGGACAAATGACTCAGCAAGGTAGCTATGTGCCTAGGAATGGGTTTTCCAAGGATAAGGGTCAACCCCCACCTTTGGACCAGCGCTGCTCTGAGGTACTGGCTGGTTTTTCCAAAAGGGAGTCACATCAGTTACTCAGTTCCATAGTTTAGTTATTGTGAAATGTGCTACTACAATCAGGAGTATACTTGTATTACTATAGTTTGCTGACTATTATTCTTTAGGATAAATACTGAGGAGTGGTAAGCTGGGTCATATGGTGGTTCCATGCCTAGCCTTTTGAGGAATCGCCATACTGATTTCCATAGTTGTACTGATTTACATATTCACTAATAGTGTAATAGTTTCCCTTTTCTCCACATACTCTTCATCATGTATTATTGTTTGTATTCTTTTTTTTTGTATTCTTGATGACTGCCATTCTAACTGGATTGATATGAAATCAGTGTAACAGTGGTCCACTTTATGCTTTGAACTTTATGCTTTAAACAAGCCCTTGCTTTCTCTGTCACTGCAACTTATTTTTAAAATGGACATGTTTCTCTTCCTCTCTCCCTGCTTCTCCCTATCTTAGGGGGAATAGGATTACCTTTCTTTCCCATTTTAGACAGATTTTTCTGTCCTTGAGTACACACCAATCATAGGAATTAATTAATCCATATTTAGGGGATGATACCAGAAAATATCATAATGACTATCTCCCAAATTAACAAGTGAATTACAACTCTAACAGAGAGCACAACACTTGAAATGTAGCCTTTGAATTCCCTCTTTAAAAGAAATTCATTTGGAAAAGTAAAAGACCCAGTATAGCCAAAGTAAGAAAAGTGAAGCAGGGAGCATCAGAATACCAGACCTTAAACTATAATATACAGCAATAGTAACAAAAATGGCATGATATTGGAACAAAATAGTCACATAGACCAATGGTACAAAATAGAAGACACAGAGAAAAACTCATGTAAATATGGTTATCTCAAACTAGACAAAGGTGCCAAAAACATACATTGAAAAAAAGATAGCCTCTTTAACACCTGGTGCTAGAAAAACTGGAAATCCATATGTAGCAAAATGAAATTAAACCTCTATCTATATCTCTGCACAAAAATCAACTCAAAGTGGATCAAAGACTTAGGCACTAGAACAGAGACCCTGTGCCTAATAGAAGAAAAAGTAGGCCCAAATATCCAGTATATATAAAGAATTCAAAAAACTTGACACCCCCAAATCCCAAATAACCCAATCAATAAATGGGCTAAGGAACTAAACAGACACTTCACAGAAGAAGAAATAAACATGAAAAAAATGTTCATAATCTCTAGCAATTAGAGAAATGAAAGTCAAAACTACTCTAAGATTTCATCTCACTCCAATCAGAATGGCAATTATCAAGAATGCAAGCCTAATAAGTGTTGGCAAGGATGTAGGGGGAAAAGGTACAATTATACATTGCTGGTGGGCTGGTAACTTGGTTGGAAAGCAGTATGGAGATTCCTTAGAAAACTTGGAAATGGACCCATCATTTGACTTAGCTATTCCACTCTTTGCTTTGTACCTAAAAGACTTAAAATCAGCATACTACAGTGAAATCCCCACATATTTATCACAGCTCAATTCACAATAGTTAAACTATGGAACCAAACTCGATGCTCTTCAACAAATAAATGGATAAAGAAAATGTGGTAGGTATACACAATGGAATATTACTCAGCCTTAAAGAAAAATGAAATCATGGCATTTGCAGGTGAATGGATGGAACTAGAGAACATCCTGCTAAGTGAAATAAGCCAATCCCCCCCAAACCAAAGGCCAACTGTTTTCTCTGATAAGCAGATGCTGATTCATAGTGGGGGTGGGGTAGGGAAGAATGAAGGAACTTTGGATTGTGCAGTAGGGAGTGAGGGGAGGGGTGGGGCTGTGGGGATGAGAAGGACAGTAGAATGTGACAGACATTATTACCCTATATACACATATGATTACACTATTGGTGTGACTCTGCACCATGTATAGCCAGAGGAATGAGAAGTTTTGCTCCATTTCTATACAATGTGTCAACATGCACTCTACTCTCATGTACAACCAATTAGAACAAATTGAAAAATAAATAGAAGGGAGACCAGTAAATAGACAAAAGGGATCATGGAGAGGGAGGGGAGGAAAAGGGGGAAATACTGGGGAATAAAATTGTTCAAATTATACTGTTTTATTGTGTGCACATATGAACATATTGTAACAAATCCCACTGTTATGTATAATTATAATGTGCCAATACAAAGGGAAAAACATTAGATTGTACAGCTTTAATTGGGTGAATTGTATGATATGTGAATTCTATCTTAATAAAGCTATTTTTAAAAGATTTAAAAAAAAGTTAGTAAATTTTCTTAATAAATTGAAACAGTGAAAAATATTCACTCAAGGAGTTAAAGTCCATTAGTAGTTTCCAGTCAAGACCTGCATATTTGTTCAACTGCCATACAGTTACTCTATAGGAATTTGTAGAAACATGCAATGGCTTTTAATTTCTTGTGTAACGATGAGTTTCTTTGAGATAGATATTTTTAAAAATTCAGAATAATATTTCAATGCATGACATAGGTATTTAAAGTACACTTTATTTTATTTTGTCATATGATCCTATTTTAGTAATTTTTTTCTCATCCAGATGGAATTGAGGCAGAGAAAAATAAAGTCATTTTATAGGCACTCAAACTCTCCAAATGTTAAGCATCTATTTTTATATACGTTTTTCACAAAGTTGAGTATTCAAAGTTCTAGTTATAAGGAAGATGTGTTTTAAGATTGGTTTTGTAC